GCACGCTGTAGCTGTACTCACGCAGAGACATGTAGGAGGAGATGTATGAAGGCAGCAGACCAAGAAGTGATTTAAAGATGAAAATGTACCAGTGAGAGAGTCTGCGTGAAGTTAATGATGTCCAGTTAACCAGTGAATACAGGGTGCAGTGGTGGGTACGATAATCACAGCCAGTTATGAATCTTAGTGCACCATGATAGACAGCATCCAACATCTGCAGGGTGCTTGTAGGAGCGTTCATGTAAATAATGTCACCGTAATCAATGGAGGGAAGGAAAGTCACAGTTACAAGGTGTTTCTTAGCATTCAGACTTAGACAGGATCTATTTCTGAAAAAGAAACCCAGTTTAACTTTCAGTTTCTTTACCAAGTTTTCCACATGGAGCTTAAAATAGAGATGTGAGTCAACCAAGATACCCAAATATTTATAGGAATCAACAAACTCAATCGGGATGTTTGGCTCTATGAGACATTCACAATTAAAGCAAATAAAAATCTTGTGTCAATAAATGAGTTAATAAATAAATGACAATAGCAGGTCTGCTATAAAACTACAATATCAGCCATCAGTCTTCTCTTTGAGTTTCTTTAATTTTGAACATCAAAGCTATGCTGTTGCACGAGAACACTGTTATGCACGTGTATGCATCTAAGGCTGATCTGCGTCCTGCACTGACCAAGATGAACGAGAAATAAAGGTTGATATTACCAAACACTAAAGACTACAGAAGGATGATGTCACCATGGCAGGTCTGTTTTTTATATGGATAGAGTACATTAGGGGAAATAAATAAGAGTCTAAGATTAAAATCTTAGATTTTCCTAAAATACTTTTTTCAAAGCAATATTTCAGATTATTTGAACTGGGATTATTTGGTACAAATATCTTACCTGTTGTATTTACCAATTTGAGCAGCCTTATATAGGAGAAAGAGTTTATTATTATTATTTTTTATCAGATTGATAAAACAACAGCTGGTCTGAACACAGCCAGACCACAAATACTTCCTTTATCTTAAAACAATTTCAAGCTCTAAAATTTCAGTTAATGCTATTTTATATACCATCACAGTTAATTTGTCATTACACAGTAGGTAACGTTAAATTTTATAATTATTTGTAACAGTAAAAAAATCGCTCTAGCACTTCTTGTGTACCATGGGTCACTTCTGCCAAGAGTTTTATAACCTTTCTCCAAAACAACAGTGTTATATTAAACTCTCAGAGATTTAAATGCTTAAATAACAACATTTGTATAAATTGTTATAAAACTTTAATGATTTGAATTGTTTTAAGATGGAAACTATCATACTGTTTGGTCTTAGCCATACTTGAACTAGCTGTTAGCTTGTCATAATTAAATTCTATTCCTTTACATTTAGATTATAAAAAGTTATCAATAGTTTAAAAGTAAAATCTTCATTACTTTTGCACAGAAGCCCACAGACAAATGACTTGACTGACAAGCTAGCAGCTATCCTGAAGTAGATTGCTGCCATTTTAGAACAACTCCAATCTCAAAAATATCAAAACTGTTCACACAAACAGTATAAATCCAACATTTTTCAGTCAGGTCATCTGGACAGTTTTTTGTTTGTTTGTGCCGAAACGTTTCGCCTTCATCAGTCAAGAAAACACAACTGATTCTTCCCCCAACAGCTTACTCCAAAGTGGAACAAACCAGTTATGTTGGTGATAAGATGGTCTCTTTGGTACGCCTCCTCCTTCATTGCCGACCCTCTTCCTTGTTGATAGTCTTGTCAAACTGGTTGAAAACAACAAAGTCCATGCTCAATAATCCAGGTATACACCTGACCTGACTGAAAAATGTTAGATTGTATACCTGGATTATTGAGCATTGACTTTGTAGTATTCAATAAACTTCAATGTTAGCTTTGCTTTATACTGTTATTATATTATATTATTTATACTTTATACTGTTATTTGATGACAGTAGCTAGCTGTATAACTTCTGTCGTGAATATCATAATATTTTTGTCAAGCTGCGCAAAGTGGATCTGAAAGCAATGTAAAAGTTTATAAATTGTGCTCCCATAAACTGATGCAACTTTTTTTTTAAGACAAGAGTTTTAAGAAAGCAGAAATCCAGTTTGGTTCTGCTCGGGCTAGCTGTTAGCTCGTCAGTCGTATTTAGCATTGAACAGGTGTTTCTTGCTTAACTGGCACAACGCACAGAGTGCTTTCAATTAGCAGTCATGTGCATTTCCGCTAATCCGCTAACAGCAAATAGCGGAACTAATGTTTCGTTCAGCGGATTAGCGGGTTTGCTAACTTTCAAAACCGTTAGCATAACTATCCCTTCAAGGTGCTTGAAAGTGTATATTAGCATAGCAGACGGCTATTTGCTAACTGTTGTACAGCAGAAACTCTTGATTCAAAATCACATTTTTAGAGAGTTTGGCCTCGTGGATTAAAGCTTCCTGTCTGAGTTAATTGCACTTCTCGTATCTAATGCAGCCCAGATAAAGCTGAGCTATCTGCGTGTTAAAAAGGCATCAGCTTAATAGGCTTCATGTATAATTAAATAATTGTTAACACCTGTGTTGTTCTGTGACAGTCTTATCCTCGCTACACAGCAGCTGTCAGGGTTCTAACTTTATGCAACTGTTTCTTGTAGTACACTTTACTGGGCTCATGAAAGGCAAGGTGGCTAGGCAAGCTAAAATAAAAAATGTGTGTGTGTGAGGACATTGATTTCAGACTATTTGTATCACACCAGAGAGAGCCATGTTGATTTTGTTCTGGCCATCTAATCAGCGGCTGATTTACAACTGGGATGCTAAGTGAATGTAATTACCAGCATTTAACCACCAGGTAGGGAGGAAAGCTGCGGCGTTTTGGCTGCTGCAAGATTATGAATGGAAAAACAACCTGCAAAAACATCTTCTCCATCCCCTATTGGTGAAAGAAGGTAGACGATGGTCATTTTGTTTTGTCTTCGTGTCTGTCATGGAAATATCTCTCGAACCATTGATGAAACTTACAGAACTGATTCACTTTTGGGGTCAACTTGATTCAAGATGACTGCCACAGCCATGTATCAGAAAACGATTTTGGGTGGACCCAAGAATCCTGACTGGAACACAACGGCTAAAGAATAGATTTGGACGTTCATAACAAAATAAACTGGGGGGGGAGGTTCATATCACTGAGAGATACTAGGAAACAACAACAAAAAATAACAATAACAAAAGGAATAAAACAAATCAGCAAACAGCAACTATAAAAACTACAGATCACTGTTCCTGGAAAGCATAAGTATCTAGAACTCCAGTCCACTGGGCAGGTATTGACTGAGAATTTGACATGGTTGTAGCTGAGAGTCATACACAACACATCCTCCGAGAGCTGCTCACTGTGTGAGATCTTTGCTTACAATGTTACCATTAACTTTACTATTTCTTGTTTTCTTCTTTTGTTTTTTTAGCGAATCGGTTCTGCTCATCCTGAACATCCCATTGCGTTGTTGACCTTGAGTTAACCTGCATGTGACAAATAAACAACATAACAACTGATGGAGTTAATTCTATCTGCCTGTTAGCAAAATATCTCACAAACCCATGAGCAGATTTTAAGTAAACTTACAGAAAGTATTCAATTCAGTCAGTTTATTTATATAGCGCCAAGTCACAACAGAAGTCATCTCAGGGCACTGAACAGAAACATTCATATATATTTAAAATAATTGAACACTTTTTATCTGAGGAGCAGACTGCTTTGAGTTTAACGCCATCACAGAACTCTCATCTTGAGCAAGCATGAAGGCGACAGTGGAAAGGATAAACTCCCTCGTGAGGAAGAAACCTTTAGTAGAACCAGGCTCAGAACAAGCGGTCATCTGCTACGACCGGCTGGGTTTGAGAGGAACAGATACACAATGGCAGGTCAAGAATCATATGTTAAGATAGAAATAGTATCAAATGAAAACTATTCAATCTTAACAATTAATTTTAAGAAATTAGATCAATTTGTCCTCTAGTAGTCTAAGTCTATGGCAGCATACCAAGCCAACCCTAACTATAGGATTTAACAAAAAGGAAAGTCTTAAGCCAAGTTTTAAAACTGGACAATGTGTCAGCCTCACGGACAAAAACTGAAAGTTGGTTCCACAAGAGAGGAGCCTGATAACTGGAAGATCTTCCTCTCATTCTGCTTTTGGAAACTCTAGGAACCGCAAGTAAGCCTGCAGTCTGAGAGACAACGGCTCTGTTAGGAAAACATGGAACAATAAGACCTTGAATAGGTTGTTGAGAGCTTTGTATGTTAGACGTAAGATTTTGAATTCAATTCTGAATTTGACAGGGAGCCAATGGAGAGAATCATGTGATGTATAATTATAACATACAATTTTAGAGCAAGTTTAATTGAAGATGACTACCTGAGCTTATCAACATTAGCCAACACAGAATGCCTAACGTAGTCAATTTTACTTATACTGAGCTAAAATTTGACATGGTAGTTACCGAGAATACAACACAGAATCTGAGCAGCACACATTGTGCATAATAGCATTTACAAGGTTTGACCAAAATAACAAATTTTCAGCAGATGATCATCTAAAAATCATGACATGAAAGATAGTGGACCTTTAGATTGGTGCAGTGACCACAGCACCAGTGAGTTATAAGAAAAAAATATAAAGCTGCTTTTATTTAGATAACTTAATAAATATAGAATAGATTTTTATCATCATTGCACCTGAGGACAATGACATTTGGGTTGCTTCCCAGAGCAAAAGTAAAAACAGTGTAATATAAAACAAAGCAAAAAATAAATAAATATATATATAAACTGTGTAAAAGTATAAAACTCTAGATAAAATATATAGGTGAACATATAGGAACACTTGGAGTCATGGTCACGATCCCATGAAGTGTTCTGCTGAGGAACCCGTGAGCCAGAAATTTAAACGTCAGGTGCGTGTAATTGCGCAGAGTGGCGGCCAGGGGGCGCTGGAGGGCTGGAGTCGGTGAAAACAAATAAATAAAACAAACCAGAGAAAGGGGGAGGAGCCGCACCGGGAGTAAAGTGGCTGCACAGAGTGTCAGTCCGTCCGATCCGCGGCGCAGCACAGACACACGCGCCTGACAAGTCGCGCGCGCTCCGTGCCGAGCACAGACAGGCGGACACTGACTCGACACACGGCCGCAGCTTTTCTCCGTCTAAAAATGCAACGGCCGTCTTTGTGGACGTAACCAGCGCCGTTAGCGAAAACAAGGACAAACGCCGGAGGAGGAGGAGGAGAAGGAGGTGGCGGACAGGAGGAGCAGCGAGAGGTAAGCACTGTCAACCCAGCGGAGCCGCCGCTGAACGCGGGGGGGAGAGAGGAGCTCCGGCTCGGACACTTGTCCTGCTGTGAGTGGGTGAGGGAATGAATGGATGAGGTTCTCCTGCCAAGAGCCTTAGCTTCACCCAACCGTGCGCGTGCGGCGCTCACTGTGCGCACGCGCTCCTCCCAAACAAGTGGAACTTCACCTGTCAGGTAGACAAAACAGAACAGAACATCAGAGTAGGCTGTTAGGGTTGCTGTTACAACAAACACCTGCAGAGACGTCTTTTTATTAGCTACTAAAATATTATATATATGTATACATGTGTGTATATATATATATATATATATATATATATATATATATATATATATATATGTATATGTATATGTATAGATGTAGTAGAGTGCTGTGGGTAAATGAGAGCACAGATTGTTGTGTACAGAGCTTTGAGTATCTTAAGGCTCTATATAAGTACAGTCCATTTACCATTTTAATAAGACACCTTTAATGGTGAGTGAACCACTGGTCCACATGAAGCCATTGGTGAACCAGTGCCATGAAGCTGCCTCTTAAAAGTCAAATATTCTCACAAAATAAACCCCAAAGTGCAAGTCGTAGTTGCAAATTCGAGTTCCTGATCCAAAACACAGCATCCATCTTTAAAAAAAAAAAAAAAGGTACTCCTGACCTTTTTTTAGTCATTTAAGCAGCTGATCCCCGTCATGGTCTCCACACGTTTTTTGCACAGCACGTATTTAACTGGACTCCTTGTGAACTGGACTGTGGCTCTGTAGAGCGGTCAGACATGTTTGTTTTCCTAAATGAGCCCAGAGGTGTTGTTGTATTAATGTGCTGAGCATGATGCGGGCCAGCAGTAAGGATACATTCCCCACTGATGACATTTGAAAACCTAGCAGGCTATCGCAAATCAAGGCCGGGCGGGATTAAGGGCTTTAGTCCTAGTCCTCTCCAGACAGGGAGCTCATGCACTCGGCCAAGTTAGGCCGTGCGTTTCGCCTCCGAGCTGGGGCCGTTTAGCAGGGGTGTTCTCTCCTTGCGTGCCGTGCGTGAGCGAGGACTGTCTGTGCGTATTTAAAGTGAACAGTGGTGGACAATCACACAAGCAGCAGAGAGGTGTTAGCACACACACCTGAGGTCTTGTTCTCAGCTCCAGAGCTTTATTTCAGGGCTGGAATATTTGTTTTTTTTAGTTTGCAGTAAACTTAATCAGGATCGCTCTCTGTCAAATGTGAGTCTGGCCTGAGAAATGACCTAGAGGCATTTATCCTGTTAAAGTCAGGGTAAAAAAAAAAAAAAGACTTGTTGTGGTCAGCAAGTTGCTAAGCTGTAGCTCAAGGCTGTTTATTATTATGTTTATTGTCACTCCTTTCCCCTAGAAGCGAGGTGTGTGTGTAATGGGAGCACAGCCACAGCGTTAAACCCATTCATCTCGTTGGTCTTCCAGCCTGCAGGCGGAGCGGCTCTGACCTGTCAGGGAGTCCTGTGGCGTCCGGTCAGGGATGCTGGCTGTGGATCCTGTGCATCCCAGCTGAGCTCCGTCAGGTTTCGGCACCAACTCCTCGGGCTCTTTGTTGTGCGTTTTTGCTTTTGCAGCCTAGCCCGTCGTCCTTTTTCCAGTTTGGCGACTGAAGCTGCTCTGCTGCCACAGAGGATGCGTTTGGTTCTGTACGTGAAGAGAACGGTGTTCTCAGCGGAAAACGCACGTGCAGAAAGACGTTAGCGGTTTTATTATTGCGGCTGATTTGTTGCCTGGGACATAAAATCAGGCAAAAGGAAGAGAGAATTATTATTTTTTTTTTGTTCTTGGATGATGTGATCATCCGTTTTTTTATTTATTTAAAGAAACAGCTGTGCCAGGCTCACCAACAAACTGCAAAAGCTCCTTTTTTTTCTGTCATGCAGCAGCATCAAAGAGAATGGAGCCGTATCTGTTGTCTCCCTCGTTTAAGGACGCACATAAAATGTGTCCGTTTATCTGCAGCTGCGAATATGAAGAGTGCAAAGGTAGCTGGCGATAACGACGGATGTGTTGGAGCTGTGAATATTAGGAGCGTGACGTGGACCAACATGGCCCCAATCAAAATGAAAATGAAGATCAGTTGTGAGATTTTTGTGCCTTTTTGGTAGGAGATGATGTTTTCCAAGGTTAAAAGGTGCACCTCTTATTGTTTCAGTCCTGTTTTTTAAAAGAAGCACGTTGGCAGCTTTTTATTCCACATCACGAGTTTGTATATGTGTGCACATACAGATAAATATAGTTATATTTAAAGCATATGGATTGATTTTTTAATAATTGTTTTTTTTTAAACCATTGCTCACTTCACTGAACGTGTCCGTGGGTGCGGCACCGATGAAAAGCAAACACTGAAGCATTCAAAGATTTATTTTCACACTTTTGATTCTCAAGGGGTGAGATCCCAGCTGTTGTCTGTTTATTTACAGAAAAAACAAAAGTGGGGGAGCAGAGAAAAATGGTTCTTTTGCACGACTTGTATAGAGTTGTGTGGCAGACTAAAGAGAAACTGATATTTTACCATGAGGGGAAGTTTCAGCGAGGGTCAGAAGGAATACCTTTAAAGACGTGTGTCTCGTAGGGCTGGAGGCCATCACCTCGTTTTTGCTGCATATTAATGCAGACATGAGCAATTCTGAATTGATTTTAAAATGTCAAAAACGGATCGCTATTAATGTGGGAAATGCAAAAACCCAAACTCTGAAGTGCAATACTGCCCCGACAATTTATAGTGCGCACACAACAAAGACACAGATTGAGTACTACACACGGAGCCTTCTGCATCGAAAGCTATTGTTTGGACGCACTTTGGCTTAAATCAAGTCAAAGGGAAAAATGAGGTTCACAAGAGCCGCAGAATGAAAGATGGGTGTATGTTTCCACCCATAGGTGGAGGAAAACTGCTGGTTGTTGCTGCCCATGCTGATGCCTCACTGGGCTGTGAGTGCTGGCAACAAGTTCAGTGAACGTAATCACAAAAGGTAGGGAGTCTTGAAATGTTTGTGGGGTTTTCAATGAATAATGATAATAACAACAATAACAACAACAATAATAATAAATAAAAAAAATATATAAAAACATCCAAATCTGCCCATCTTTATTTGGAAAGTATACTTCTGTAAACTAGAGAAGGTGAGTCTGTGATTGGAAGGTTGCTGGTTCGACCTTCTGGACCAACATCTAAATGTGGGTGGGAAAGGTGAAGCACCCACACCTGCCTCCACCCTCATTTGCCCTACTCTGGGCCCTTGAGCAAGGCCTTTAACTAGGCCTGTCACGATAACAAATGTTGCTGGGCGATGAATTGTCTCAGAAATGATTGCGAGCAACGATAATATTGTTTGAAAAAGAAGAAATGTTGGTTAATTTGTTTTGAGTGTAGTACCTTTTTTGACCACTGGATGGCAGTAAAAGACTATATTGAAGGATGGATAGTGAGGGAGTGAGCAGCGTGTCTCTTTAAGAAAAATGGGAGGGAGACCCCTTGATGTGACATGGGAAGTCTCTCCTTCCTTTATTCGGTTCTCAAAATGGCGGACGCTCGGTGTGCTTTGAGCTCTTTAGCATAGCATTTGTCACACAAAGCTTTTAATAAAAAAATCATTAAACAAAGTTCTCAGCTTCTTTTTGCAGAGAAAAAACTTTTTACACGAACGCACGGGTTTCAACCGTGAATTTTGGAGCTTCGACAAGACGGAGGATTTTTACGGAGGTCGGCCTGTTAGTTTAGCTCGTAGCTTAGCTTCTCAGCTTAGTTGACTTTAACGATCCAACAACGCGATTTTGGACGGTTAAAATGGATTTTAAAGAGAAAAGAGAAAGGGAGGGGTCAGTGAAGAGCACCGGAGCTGAACCTTTTGTCATCTAGTGTCTTCAGTAGAAAGAGAGACACGAAGAAACGATAAAGCCGATAAGTGAAAATGAGGTTGATAATATTAATTCATCATGCGATTAAATGATATATTGTTCATTGCGACAGGCCTTTCCCTTAACCCCCATCATCTGCTACCCCAGGTGTCCTAGATAGGAGCTCTCTGCTCCACACAGAGGGCTGTGGTAGCTCGGTGGTCTGTGGTTGCATCAGGAAGGGCATCCGGCGTAAAAACAATCACCAAGTCTTCGTGGGAGGTAGTTCGCTGTGGCGACCCCTGATGAAGGGAGCAACCAAAAGAAAAAGAGATAAAAACTTCTGTAAATTAAGTCAGGAATACCGGGGTGGCTGCCATGCTAGGTCCAAAGTGGGTGGTGGTGGGCAATAAAAAATTGTTTTACTTTTCCAAAGCACTTCAACTGGCTAGCTGGTTGCAAACACTCAGAAATGAGTGACACTCCAACTGAAAGTTCTTAGTAAATTTTTTGACATTTTAATTTTTTTTAATTTTATTTAACCTTTATTTAACCAGGAAGTCTCTTGATTATAACACTTTTCTTTTTTTTTTTTTTTCAATAGTGACCTGGTCAAAATGGCACACAGTTACAAAGATGCAAGCAAACAATTAAATTTAACTTCAATATATATATAAAAAAATTAAACGAGTGGGAATCAGCCTAGTAAAATATATATATAAAAAGGTCTAAACGTTTTCTCAAACAGCAGCAGGTTACTGAGCTCTCCGGTAAATACGGCCCACCGTGGCTCAAAGTTGGCTGCTATTGTTTCTTAATCCAGCAGGATAGATGGAGGTTGAGAGCTCAAAGGATAAAACTGATTTAAATAATCCATTCTTTTTGTTGTCTGCTGAAGTCTCTTTGATCTCAAACTAAATTAGACATATTGTCACCTAAGAAGCAGTTGATGCTTAAATGAAAACCTTCAGTGTATTTCAACAACAGATATGCCTCTGTAGAAATGACCATTTTTCTTTTCGCGGCCTTTTCTGCTATTTTAAACGCCTCACAGATATCGTATATAACTAACTTTGAGTCTTCTTTACATTCACGTTCAAGTCGTGTTGTTGTCGGCGTTGAC